TATCTTAACCCCATCTCGCCTGCTGCAGCTGAGACTGGTCAGGACTAGCTCCCTGGGACAGGATGTCACTCTTGTCCTTTGCTTCCTCCTCTGGACTTGCTGCTATCGCAGGCCCCCTCCCATTCAGCTCCCTAAGGATAGGTTTACTTACTGCTGGGGTCCAGGGTCTTGTTCACAGTGCCTGTCCCAAGGGCAGGCCGAGGCATGAGTGCGCCAACCACCCTTCTCCTCTGCTACTGCCAGTAAGGTGGCCCCAGGCTGGGGACTATGCTGCCGCAGCTGACCAGGGACCCCACCTCGCAGTGGTTGAGCTTCAGGAAGATATGGGAGCGCTACATCGAAGCCTGGTCGGAAGATGTCCGAGGAGGGGCTGGCCTCAGCTACCATCGCCTGTCCCAGCCTAGTGCAGGGAGCTGGGTACAGACTGAGGACCAGATGGTTCCGGCCCCCATTCCAGGACGGAGGTAGGGGCCCGCATGCTCCTCTATGGTCCTGGCTGGGGAGGAAGAGGTGGAGGCAAGCTTCTGCTGGGCTAAGTGCATAGAATCGGGAGCCTTCCAAGGAGTCCAGGATCCTGCGATGAGCCCCAGCGGTCGGTCCAGCTGAAGAGTGCACAAAGATCTTGAGGAGATTTCCCTTACATTTGGAGGTGTCAAAGCAGGCTCCCCAGGTGCAGCTGCTCCCCCGAGGGGCTTGACGAAGCTGCGGGGCATCTTCTGGGAGTGCCTCAGACTGGAAGAAACTCCGGAGGAAGGCAGCATCCAGCCAGCGGGGCCAGCCTTGGGAGCGCCCTGGAAGCGGCCTGGGTGGCACTGCCAGGCGAAGCGGGAAGAGTCCCAGGAGGATGAGGAGGAGCCAGAAGACCGACAGTGCCAGCCAGAAAGACTTTCTTCTCCACAGGGGCATGTGGCCATCCACAGCCGGGGCTAGAAGGAAGTTAGGGACTTCTGTAGCAAATGGGGAAGGTGAGGACCCCAGGGCAGGAGAGAGGGTCTGGGAATCCGCGTTCTGGTCCAGCACCCTCACTGCACAGACGGGGAGACTGAGGCTCACTGAGGGCGGGCTCCCTGCCTAAGTTCAAACAGCGTTATTGGCCACCTGTGGGAATGACCCCTTGTGGGAGGTCCTGGCTTTCTGAACAGGCCTTCTCATTGCCTAGCCAGCCTTTGTCCTCTCATCATGGCCCCTCTGCCCTGAGCCAGCGCTTGGACTGATGTAACCCTTGTCCAGGCCACAAGATCGTGGCCATCTGCCCTGGTGACTGAACTCCCTGACCTTACCCTTGACCCAGAGGCAGGCAGCCAGACTACGGAGAACTAGTCTGGGCTCATGGGGGTGGGTGGCTGGGGGTGGCCAACGGTGATGTGGAAGGAAACAGGGCTGGTTTCTCCCACTCCTGCCTCTACCCCAGCGGCCTTTGAGAAACCCTGGCTACCCCTGTAGCTTGGTGGTTATCCTTCTGTGGCAGAGCTAAAAATAGATCTTATGCCCATGTGGGCCACCGGGGCTAGCTGAAGTTAGAGTCTGGGTGCAGCCCATGCCTTCTGCCCGGGGGGGGAATGAGAGGATTCGGGATTCTGTTCTCCCCCTCTGCTATGGCCCCTAACCCGGGCAGCTCCCCGCACCCTCCGGCTGAGAGCTGTCACAGGGTTAGGGAGCTGTCACAGGGCAGAGGCCAAGACCTACGCTTCGATCCTGCTCCAGCCCCACAAGCGCTGCCGGCAGCTCCAGGTCCCACGCCAGTAAGCATCTGGTCCGTCCAGATCGCTTTCCTCGCTGCAGCCTGACTCCGCCCCGCCAGCCCTGATTGGCTCCTGGCTAGGAGGCAGGGTCTCTTAACCCCTTTCGGTCTCCTTTCCTGGGGTGCTGTTCTGTTTCGGTTTGTTTTCCTTTAGAGACAGGGTCTCCAGTACCCCAGGTTGGTTTCAAACAACCTTGCAGACAGGGACCTTGAGTTTCTGATCCTCCGAGTGCTGGGATTCCCAGCTATGTGTCGTCACACCTGGCTCTGGAAGACTAATGATGACCAGGAGGGGCGCCACACTTCACTGTAGCCCTGTGCTGACAGCTTTTTCTCTCCAAGGTCTTTACCTATGATTCACAGTCACATCTATCTGGCATTTTCCCTCTTGGTTATTGTTATTATCATTATCTATATTTTAAGTTTATTTTGTGGGGCTGGGACTGGAACCCAGGGTTCCGTGCCTACTAGACAGCGGTCCACCACTGAGATAGATCATCAGCCCAATTGTTTTATTATTATTATTTTATTAACTGTTGAGAGATCACCAGCCCAATTGTCGTTTTTTAATTTTATTTATTTTTTTAAAACTTTATTTAACTTTATTTCATGTGCATTGGTATAACGATGTCAGATTCTCTGGGACTGGAGTTACAGACAGCTGCAAGCTGCCATGTGGGTGCTGGGAGTTGAACCCGGGCCCTCTGGAGTCAGCGCTCTTAACCATTGAGCCATCTCACCAGCCCTATTTTTATTTTTTTATTTTAACTGTTGAGAAAAGTGAAGCTCAGAGAGGGGACAGACTCTCCCTAAGGTGACCCAGCTTGAGGTGTCTGGGGGAAGATTTGAACCCAGAGCCTTGCCTGATGGGGCTTCTGCTTGTCCCCCTGATCACTGGACGGAGCTGGGCAGTGACTACCTGCATCTGTAGAATGGATGAACAGCACCCTCCCTGGAGGGTTGCCTAGGTAGGTCCTAGTAGAGCCACTGGTGGGGGGGGCAGTTTATCCACAAGGAGGTACCCTTCCCCTGATCTGGGGGGGATGCTGACTTGATAGGAGAGCCACCGGGTGACCATTCTATACTCAGTGAGCAGCCAGCCTGAGGACAGGGCACAGCTGTGTGCCTAGGAACATCTCGAGAACAGAGTCGAAGGGAAACTTGCCTCTTGGCACTACGAGGTTGGTTGCTCAGGGATAGACAGCCGCTCAGGCAGACACCATTTTCACACAGAAGATGGGTGTGGGTATGTCCTGTTGCTGTCTTACTGGGGTGGCTTCCTCAGCTGCCTGGAATTGGTGGAGGCTTCCTTCCTGCAGGAAGCTGCCCTCACTCTCCTCCAGGTCCTCATGCCGTCTCTGCTTCTCTCCACCCTCTCTTCAGTCATCTAACAGATCCTTAGCAGCTCTAACTTGGACCATGTTCCCCCGGAGACACTAAATAAGGGTAGCAGTGTAAGTGACAACATCCTGAGCATGTTGGGAATGATGGGAAAAGAGATAGGATCATCATCCCCATTTTACAGAAGCAAAAGCCGAACTCAAGTTCCCTGATACTCTCTGCTTGTATTCCCATGCTTTAGCCAGTTCTTTTTTTTTTTCTTGGTTTTTCGAGACAGGGTTTCTCTATGGCTTTGGAGCCTGTCCTGGAACTAGCTCTTGTAGACCAGGCTGTCCTTGAACTCACAGAGATCCGCCTGCCTCTGCCTCCTGAGTGCTGGGATTAAAGGCGTGTGTCACCATCACCTGGCTGGTTTAGCCAGTTCTTAAACCATCTACTTGCCTTTTTTTTTAAAAAAAAAAAATTCTGAGGCAGGGTTTCTCTAGGTAGCTCTGGCTATCCTAGAACTCACTATGTAGACCAGGCTAGCTTTGAACTTGCAAAGATCTACCTGTCTCTGCCTCTCAAGTGCTGGGATTAAAGGTGTATGCCACAATACCCAGCCATTCCTTTTTTGTTTTATTTGTTGTTGTTTTTGGCTTTGTGTGTGTGTTTTTCTGTGTAACCCTGGCTGCCCTAGATCTCACTCTGTAGACCAGGTTGGCCTCGAACTCACAGAGCTCTGCCTGCCTCTGCCTCTGGAGTGCTGGGATTAAAGGTGTGTGCCACCACCGCCCAGTCCCAACCCCCCCCCCTTTTAAAAAATGTTTTATTTTTATTTGGTGTGTTTGAGTGTTTTCCCACATGTATATACGTGTACCGTGTCACACCTGGTGCCTTTGGGGGCTGGAAGAGGGCAGCAGATTCACTGGAACACGAGTTACAGATAATTGTGAGCCACCATGTGGGTTCTGGGAACCACACCTGGGTCATCGGCAAGAATAAGTGCTCCTTCCCGATGAGCCATCTCCCCAGCTCCACCATCTGCTCCTTTAACCACTAAACAAGGCAATCTCTCTGCTGAGTTGGGGGGTCCTATTCCACCCCTTGCTGTTAGAGGAGAGACCAGTATTAGGGTCCAGGGACCCAGGGGCAGAGAAACCCTCTAAGGAGTAATATTGACCTTAAGACTGGAAAGGAAGCAATACTGTTTATGGTTTTGTTTTGCTTTGTTTGGGCTGCACTGGATTGGAAACTTGGGGCTTCCATAAGCGAAGTAACTGCTCTCCCACTGAAGTTACCTCCCAGCTACAGAGCAGGTTTGGTTTGGTTTGGTTTGGAGGCTAGCCTTGAACACGCTTTGGGGTCAAGAATTACCTTGCCTTGCCCTCCCCATTGCTGGGATTACAGAGGTGGGACCACTGTACCAGGTTTATATGGTGTCCCAACTAACCCAGGGCTTTGTGTGTGCTACACTAGTGTGCTACTGAAGAGACAAGACTAAAGCCATTTTAAACCCAGGACTCGTCTTTATGAGAGTCTAACCTAGCAGCACCCCACCCCAGGCACCCTACCCCAGAAACCTGTAAATTCAGAGAAAAGTCTCAGCCATAACACTACCAACTGAGCCACCTTTCCAGCTTCCAAATACGTTTTTTGAGAAAAATCCCTGTCACTGTGAGGAAGTAAGGAAATGGTCACTTCATTCCACAGTTATTTAGTGAGCCTCCTCCTGTGGGCCAGGCAGCCCCTCAGGGCAGCAGGTAGCTGGAAATGTCCCCTAGCCTCATGGAGGCTTCTTTCCAGCACGGAAGCAGAAGACTTGGATGAAAATCTTCCAAAGTGTTGGGAAAGGGGAGGAGTGGAGATGTCAGGGGACTGCCCTTGGCTCCAGACACAGGGACAGACAGGGCACAGGTTCAGAGGCAGGCGAGTAGCTATGTGGCTGGTTTTCCCATCACCACACAGACTCAGGCTAGATGGGGAGACCTGCTGGGTTAAGCTTAGAGCACGTGAACCGTAAAGGTGGCCTGGACCTGGGCGACAAGGTTAGAAAGGGCAGAGACTGTGCATTCTGGAGGTGGTTTGTCCACGGAAGAGAAGAGGCTCACGGATGAGCTAAGTGTGCCTTTGGCTGCAGCCCTCCCTGCAGTCAGGAAGGCTGGCTGTGTAAGGGTAAAAAGGCAGTCGGGTCTGGTGCGCCCCCTCCCTGCAGCTCTGAGGCAGTGAATTCCAACAAAGGCTCTGAACAGTGAAGGAGAAGCAGAGTGAGAAAGATGGGTGACCAAGGCGGCAGGCTTGAGGACTCCGAAATTGTTCAACAGTTTCGTGGGAGATTGACACATTCTATCCAGAGGGGAATCCCGGTAAGCAGGAAGATAAACAGCTCAAACTAGGTTCAAGAAGTCCGTGAAACTGACCCCACCCCCATCCCCAGTAAGTAAAAAAGCTCAGATAAGTCAACCTGAAAGAGAGCTCTGAGACCAGACTAGCTACCTGGAAGAGCGTTAGACCAGTGGGGTTGAAAGGGACACCCTCCAACCCGCAACCTGTTGAGCTGCTTGTGGGCCCTGCGTCACTCTGTTCCCAGCTTCTGAGAGCTGTCAGGTACTGGGGTGGGCCTTGGTGAGGCAGCTGTCTTTGAGTCATTTCTACTCCGAGTAACCCCTCACCTGTATTCCTGTACGCAATCCCGATAAAAACTCATTGGTTCATCAAATTGGACTTTGGTTGTATCCGTACTTTGGTCTGTTTGGGGGCTCCCTATCCCCAGGAAAAGTTCAGTCACACAACAGGGATACTCTGGTCATGCTCTGACTGCCACGGTACCCCCGTCCCTGGGCTCATGGCTGGGTCATGCTGGAAGTGTGCTCCTTTTGCGTTGCAGCACACATACACATACACACACACACCCTCTTTACCTTCATTCCTGCAGGGGAGTTTCTCGGGCCAGCGGGGCCTGGGCTTGTCTAAACCAATTCCCCACGCTTGCTTGCAGGCTTGGGTGGAGGCAGAGAAGAGGGACTGTCCTAAGCTCATCCTGAAAACAGACTCCTGGGCTGTGCCAAGGGCTCCTGGGGCATCTGTGGGACTTCATCAAAGCCACTAGAAGACCTGTGTCCTGCAGCTGGGTGCTGCTCTACAGAGTGGAAGCCATCATACTGTGGCGTGGCCACAGGAAGGTGAGGACACAGTGAGGTGCTTGCAATGACTGGGTTCAGTGCGGGGGAGGTGGGGCTCCTTTTTTCTGTGATCTTGAGGACTAGCCAGTGCCCCTGGACCTCTAAGCAGAGTGGTTTTTGCCTCACAGCCCTGGTGGTTCTGCCTCCCAGCCTTGGGACAGCTGTTGCCTCCTGCCTGAGGCACACGGCGCAGAGAATGGGAGCTAAGGCCACCTCCATGGAGTTTGGTCTGAATTACTCCCTTCCTCCCTCCCTCTGTTTCTTCAGAAGGACTGGCTACATCCTTCTGAGAGGAAGGCCCCAAAACGTGAACGAACACTGTGGTTAACAGTACAGCCCAAGTGTCCCCATAAACTCCGCCCTCCTGGGCAAGTGACCTTTCTGTGCCTCTGTTTTATCCACTGCATGATGGGAATGCTCAGGATAGCTGCTTCCCAAAGAGGCGGGTGAGGTATGGAGCATGCAAGAGTCTGCAAACCATGCCTGTCAGGTGCCAAACAAATAGCACCCCAGGGGCTGGGAGTGTGGCTCCGTGATAGAGCACTTGCCTCTTTTGCCCGAGGACATGGGTTCGATCTCTAGCAGGGCTGGTTAGGTCCTCCCACCCCACCCCACCAGACACAAGCTGGACTCCAGTGGTTCTCAAACTTTCTAATGCTGTGACCCTTTAATACAGTTCCATATGTTGTGGTGGCCTCCAACCATAAAATTCTTTTTGTTGCCACTTCACAACTGTAATTTTTCTACTGTTATTAATCATAATTTAAATATCTGCTTCTTGGGGTATTGTAGGTGGAGGCTGCTCATTTGTTTCCTGGCTGCCTAGACCCGAAATAATCTCACAGAAACTGTATTAATTACAATACTGTTTGGCCAACGACTCTAGCATATTTCTAGCTAACTCTTACATCTTGAATTAACCCGTTTCTATTAGTCTATGTATCACCACTAGGCTGTGAGTTACCGGTGCCGGCATGTTACTCCTTCGGCAGCTACATGGTGTCTCCCTGACTCTGTCTTCTTTGCTCCTCTATCTCGGCTTAGAATTCTCATCTCGCTCTATTCTGCTCTGCCATAGGCCCAAAGCCAATTCTTTATTAACCAAGGGTAATAAAACATAATCATAGCATACAGAGGGGAAATCCCACATCACCTCCCTTTTTCTGTCCTAAATAAAAAGAAAGGTTTTAACTTTAACATAGTGAAATTACATATAACAAAACAGGTACCAAGCAAGAATTATAGTTACAATATTTAGTTCATTTCCATTTGACAAATTAAGGAAAATACTCTATAATTTATCCTATCTTCATGAGTCTAAAGTTTTATATCTAATTTATCCTTTATCATAACTAAGGGAAACTATAAGTATCTTTCTTTAACTCTTCAAAGATTTTAGAAGGATATAATATTACCCAAATTAACAGGAAGTGTATTCTAAGCAACTTCCAAAACTCTAGAATTGACAGAGACATCTTGCTGCCTGGACAGTCATCCAAAGTTCTTCTATAACATTGGAGCATCCGTCTTCAGTCTACAGACCCATAGTATCTGGCAGACTTTTCCATGAAGCAGGAAATTTCAAAGACAGTTCTGTCTATATTGGCAGTTTGCTGGTCACTTTTTTTTTCTGTGTCCTGCAGGATGCCTTGCAGACTCTTTCATGAAGGAGAAACCTTGAAGGACTGTCTCACCTTCGTTAGGCAAGTATAGCAGTCATTTCTCTGTGGGTCCTGCTTGTCCAGTTTATACAGCATACTGCCAAGCAGTCCGGGCAAGAGCAGTTTCTTGCCTAAATGATTAGCCTTGTCACATTAAAGGCAAATTCCATAATGAGTTTTTTTCAATACCCATCAACCTCTCTGAAGTAATTGGTGCTGCCAGAAGCAGACATGCCTCACTATCATGAAAAGTCCTAAGTTCTTAAAACATTTTAAATGCCATATTCTGTATGTCTTTGAAAGATTTCAAGAATATCTATCTATCTGAAATATAGCTCTGTACATCTAGAAAACCTAACATGACTACAAGCTTGACTATTATAGATACCTATCTATTAACCTCTGTTTCTTAATTATACGTTACATTTTTAAATGAGCTACACAAACAAAATACCTTAATCAAGAGCAGAAATATACATATAACAAAATTGAACTAAAATTTGTATCAATAAACCAAGATCCATACCAATGCAAAGTATTCATCTCTATAGCATATCTTCCTTTAAATGTAAACAAACAAACATAAACAATCATTCAGAAAATTTGGGTGTTGTTCTCTAGACTACTTCCTGATTGGGGGCACTGTTAATCAGGTCTTTCATGGGGTATCCTGTGTGGTGGGTCCATCTCAGCCAGCAGTCCTGAAGCTGTAATGGATGTTGGACCATCCGGCTATTGCTTCAGTGGGTCTTGTTTGATCAAGCCACATTAGCCGGTAAGGAATCCACAGCTTTATGTCCTCTGTGGAAACAAAAACAGAACCTCTTTTCCAAAGCAACGTATCCTTAGACCCAAATTTTGAAGCCAAGATACCTTTAAAATATATATGTTAGTTTAGCTTAGCAGTCCATACAATGAAATGTCTCTCTGAACTTAGCTCATTCATAGTCAAAAAATTCATATACATAATCCAGACTCTCTGTGTATTTTTATGTTTATGTAGCTTATTTTTCTTTACTCCTTTATTCTATGACTATCTGTATTCTTTATATTACTTTTACTGTCTCTTTAAAGACTTTGTTTTAATTTTTTAAAACCATTTACTTTATTTTTATAACTATTTTTTAATCTCTCTCTCAAGCCTATGTACATTTTTTAAACACACTGTGACCCATTTAGAGGTTTATTTTTATGTGAATCTGTCTTTATTGCGTATATGTAATCATTTTCTGATCAGGTACACTTTGTTTTTTTAATGCTAAGAGGGTGTGGCTAGGACCAACTCCATGGCCCTGCCTTTTGGCTCTGCCCAGTCCAACATGGCAGAGGCATGTTCACTGCCTCTGAGAGCCATGCTCACTGCCCCAGATCCAGGGTGATAGAGGATCTATATCGCTATTAAGCAATTTGTAACCCATTGCTCACAGACCCCATTTAAGTGCTTGGCCTCTTGAAAGAGCCAGAGCTTATGCAACTAGCACAAACCAGGAAGCCCTCCCCTAAAGAAGCCTGCAGCCTTTGCGGCCATGGCTGAGTCAGGAAGACCTCTCTCAAAGGAGGCATACTTCTGCCTGCTGCCAGCAAACAGAGTCCACACCCCTCCCCCCCAAAATGCAGCTACCAAAAAGCTTCGCTAAACTGCCAAACTTGTGTTTATTCGTGTCTAGAATTGCTTTTCAAGTTTTCTCAGGTTTTATGTGGCTGTAGTCAGCCCACATTGGCACTCCAATTTGTAAACGGAGGCTCTTGTTTGTTTCCTGGCCACCCAGACCTGAATAATATCCCAGAAACTATATTAATTAAAACACTGCTTGGCCTATTAGTTCAGGCTTCTTATTAACTAACTCTTCCATCTTAAATTAACCTACTCCTATTATTTTATATTTTACCACGAGGCTCATAGTTTACCCATAAGGTCCTGACAGGCATCTTTCTCCTTTCGTGGCTACATGGCGTCTCTCTGACTCCGCCTTCTTTCTCCCAGAGTTCAGTCTAGTTTTCCCACCTAGCTCTATTCTGCCCTGCTATAGGCTGAAGCAGCCTCTTTATTAACCAATGATAATAAAACATATTCACAGCATACAGAGGGGAATCTCACATCATAAGATGAACTTCTATTATTCAGAGAAAACTGGATGTGGTGAGCAGAACTGTAATCCCAGCACCACACCCAGGAGCAAGGAGATGGGAGGGTTGCTATGTGTCCAAAGCTAGCCTGGGCTAATATACATAGTTCTAAGCCAGCCAGGCATTCATAGACCCTGTCTCCAAATTTATTAATTATAAATTTTAAAGCCAGAGGCCATGAAGGACAGCAGGCATTATTCACAAGCCAGCATCCTCACCTCGGGCTGCAGGCTGGGTTTTGAGGTCTGGCCAGTCCCATGGGACAGAGTTCTTTGAAATGGCAGGATTGGCCAAACCGAGTAAATAAATTTCAAAGCTTGAGCCTGAAGTTATTTTATTCTTCTACCTGTTCCTCGGAAATAGACTCTCTGGAGACTTCTGAAGCTGGGGCTCCCTCAAGGGAGTTCGTGGACTTTCTCAGAATAGTCCACACCCAGACACCGCCATGTTAGCTCTGACCACCTAGGGATTAATCAGCAGAGCCACCAGGCTGTTACCCAGCAAGCAGGGTGCTTCAAACCCAGGTGATCAACAGCAGTGGCTAGAGGATCTATTTCTCCTCCTCTTCGTCCCCAGGGATGGCTGCCTGGCACCGTGAACTCTGCCAGCTTTCTGTGGGCGCCTTGAGGAGAAAGCCCACAGAGAACTGGGATTGGGGGTGCGGGGAGAAGCAGGTCCCGAAGTGAGCTCTGAGGAGAAGACAGAGAGGCCTCAGTCTCATTTCTCTCTGAGTCTTGGCTCACCTCAGCATATTAGAGATCGATGCTGTTGTAACTGATGCAGACTGTGCAAGGGCTGGTTCCAGACAGGCACAAGCTCATTTAATCCTCATAACTCCCAGAAGAACCAGGCCTTCTATCTGGGCTTCCAGATGAGAGGAGGGAGATGAGGAGAAGTAAGATTGCTCTTCAGGATTGCCTAGCTGTGGGGGAGCTAGAGCTGGCACCTAGGGCGTGAGCTCTGCCAAACTTTCTACTTTCTCAGTGGACACAGCAGCAGCGTTTACAGAGTCCCTGCTATGGGCCAGGCGGTTACGGGAACCCTGTCGCTGGTCCGCTAGTCAATGAAAAGGAGCAGTTTGGTCCAAAGGGCGGAGTACAAGACACAAAAGAGAAGACGGAACCCAGGTCTGCCCCTCTGGGACAAGGAGGGTGAGCAGAGCAGCGGCAAGGCAGCTGGTGACCCGTTTCGGATTCCCCGTTCTTTCTTGTGATTGCTGTGCACGGATTTTGCTCGATAATAAACGGTACAGCAATCCTCTGGCTCCCTTCATCGCCGGTACTGTGCTGAATACTTTCCGTCTGTCTTGAGTCTTGGAGGTACCCTTTCCTCAACCGCTCTTTACCAAGTCACCGACATCAGACGTGTGGCTGTGAGGCTGTGCAGTACACAACAGGTTCTGGGGTGTGGCAGAAACATGCGTGTCTATTCCAGACTGAGACAGGATGGGCCTCTTGTCACGTACATGACACCGTTACTTGTTATGTACATAACACCGTCACTTGTCATGTATGTGACACCATCTTGGGCTGCTCATAAAGTTCTTCCAATGCCACTTCCAAACAAGCCCTAAAGCCTAGCTCTCGTCACCCCAACCTATCCCAGTTCAGCTGCCACCATTCGACAGCAAGATCAGGTGCTGGGCTCTGGGCTCTGTTCTCCCTTCCCTCCCCAGCAGCCCTGACCCCAGCTTTGCCTGGCTCCTTACCAAGGCTCTCTTTGTTAGGGAAGGGCAAGCAGCTGGCCCTGGAGTGGCATAGACTTTCCAAAGGCTCAGAGGCTACCCCCACCGCCTCCTCAGTTGGCTCACCCACAGGGGCAGTGTTCCGCTCTAACCACCAGGACCAGCTACCAACTCTGTAGTCCCTGTGCCTGTTGAAACGGTGCAAATAGGTCAGGCCTTACCCATCTCCAGCACCTCCCTCCTGTTCCCAAGGAGACCACACTAGAGAATCCTGCCTCCTGACTGCTGAGGCGGTTCTCTGGGTGCCCTCCCAGGCCATGACGTTCACCCTTCTCTGGAGATCTGTAAGAAGTTCTTTTAGTGGACGATGCCTTGGTCTGTGGCCTTGGTCAAGTTAAGCAATAGTGTAGCCACTATTTATATTTTCCGTGCGTATGTGGTTATAAGCCTAGCTACGTGTGGGCACTCCTGTGTCCACATGTATGTGGAGACCCAAGGCTGACACTGGGTGTCTTCCTCAGCGACTCTTCACTTTATTCGTTGAGGCAAGGCCTCTCAATCGTACCCAGAGCTAACCTGTCTGGCTAGTCTAGCTATCCAGCTTGCTCCGGTTTTCCTCCGTCTCTTCCTGGAGTTGCAGGTGGGCTGCCACACCCAGCCGGTATTTACATACTTGTGTAGCAAGCTCTTCATCCACGGAGCCATCTCCCCAGCAGCCCCTGTAGCCAATATTTTAAAGCCAACCCCCAGTAGCTTCCTTCAGACTTAGAATAAAATCCAGCCAAACTGGGTATGATGGCACACACCTATGATCCCCCCCACACACACACACACGGGTTGCTGAGGCAGGAGGATTACTATGAGTCCAAGCCTAGCCTGGGTTTCTCGCAAGGCTGTCTTAGGCTACTCTTCTCATCCCTGTGACAGAATAGCAGACTAAAGAGACTTAGTGAAGGAACGCTTTGTTATGACTCACATGGGAAGGAGGCCACTTCACTACTGCATGCACTGTCGTGGGTGTGGGGGAACGCCGAGGAGCACCGTGGGGGCGGGCAGGAGAGATGAGGGTGCCGAAGTGAAGCGATGAGAGCAGTGTGAAATTGTAAGAAAGCAGAGAGGAGACCGGGTGCGTGCCTGCCAGGGGCTAGCAGTCTCTGCACGTGGAAGAGGAACTGATCTTGCTGGCAGGAGGACATTGGTCCACACATGGGAAGCGTTCAGGGCTTTGGACAAGGGCTGCTACCTTTGTGTCAAAGCGGCCCCAGAGGGTAAGTAAGGACTAATGGCTTGCTTGGTAACCTCTCTGCTCCCAACCTGTTCGGCATCTCTCCCCATCCCTAAACACATGAGAGTTTCGTGCCTCCAGGCCTCCTTAGGCTTGGCAGGAAGGCAAGCCTCTGCCAGGCTTTTGATGGCATCCTTGATAACAGGGCTGGGAGCCAGAAAGAGAAGCCAGGAGTGGGAATTGGGCCCTGCCTTGGCCTCTGGCTTCTCTGAACTGGCTCTGTCTTCACCAGCCGATTCTGGTGAGAGATTCTGGGAAGCAGGATGTTGCTGAGGCCAAGTAAACTCTCAAAGGCCTGGAAGGAGTCAGGAAGCAAAGGGCAGGATGCCCTGCCTGCCCAGCTTCTCTCTGCCTTGTAGAAAAGGTCTCTGATTGCTCTTCTCCAGGGCTCTGTGGTCCTTGCTACTCCCAGCCACTCTGGTGATCAACATTTACGATGTTGCTCTCCCCAAACCCTGGGATGATGGTGGGAGGGAAGTTCTCTCTCTGGTGGTCCAGAGGGGATTGGCTTTAAGCTGCAGAGGCAATCTTTCCGGGTATTGGAATTGTTCTACAAACAATGCGGGTTGGGGCACTGCATCGTGAAGATGACTCCGGTTCAGAGCCCTCAGTGGCCCCAGGTTGGGCTCCCAGAGCCTGCAGATCACAAAGGCCTGTAACCCCAGTTTCAGGGGATCTGATGCCCTCTTCTGGACACTGTAGGTACAAGGCACTCACGTGGTGCACTTTACATACCTGTAGCCAAAACACCCCGTGCACATAAAATAAAATAAACCTTTTTAAAAATCGGAGGAACCAGGGAGATGAGTCAAAGGGGAAGCCCACTTGCTATATAAGCATGCAACCTGCATTTGACTCCCCAGCCCCCACCTAAAAAGCTGGGCATGGTTGCATGTTCCTAAAACCCCAACATAGGTGGACAGAGACAGACGAATCTGAGGCGTTCACTGGCAGGTCAGCCTAGCCCCATGAGCGAGCTTCTAGTGAGTAAGAGACCTTGTCTGAGGCAATCAGGTGGGGAGGGACAGAGTAACACATCCAACATTCTGCCCTGTGTCCATACGCATGCACACACATTCACAAACATGCACTGTACACACACACACACACACTCACACACATGCTCACATACAGTTTTGAACTGTACATTTAAGATTAGAAGTTTAGTGGACAGGAGAGATGGCTCAGAGATTAAATACACTGTTTTTCCAGAGGACCTAGGCTCTACTTCCAGCACCCACATGGTAGCTCACAACCTTCTTTAGTTCCAGCTCCAGGGGATCTAATACTCTCTTCTGGCTTCCATAGGTATGCAGTTCACATGCATACATGTAGTTCACATACATACACACACTGAAAACACCCATCAAGATAAAAGTAAGTCTTTCAAAAATGTTTTAAAAACTTAGAGTGTTTAGGCTGAGCATGGACGGTGTCACGTGCCAGTGATCCCAGCCCTTGAGAGACAGAGGGAAGAGGAAGGTATGTTTGAAGCTAGCCTGGGCTACATAGTAAAACCCTCCTCTCAAAAAACAAAAGAAAATTAATGCTGTTTATTACGTACTAATTTCATCTTGATTTTAGAAAGTAGGGTCTTAATTCAGCAGGGAGGAGGAACAGGGAATCCAAAGTTGTTCATCCAAATACCAGTGAAATTTGGTGTGAATGACTGGGGCTGACAAGACCACGGGCACCAAAATGAACAGCGGCTCTCAGCTTTTCGGAAGCAGAGAGTGGGGTCTGTATTCTTAGCCACATCGCTCATCAGAAAGTACATAGTGGGCAAGTTACCGATCTGTTGATGTTTGCCTTCTTTCTTGCTAGACAGAGAGCAGCTTTGTATATGTTCCCGATCAGATCTCCTTCAACCTGGCGTAGGCACAGGGGAAAGGTCGGCATGGTAGCTGCCTCGAAGGAAATCGTACAGTATTGGAGGTCAGCATGCCTGATTGGAGAGTAGACGGGGATCCTGTGTTGTCGTGAGTGTTCTGGACCAGCCTGCTCTAGTCCACAGGTTTTTTTGGGGGGGAGATTGGGAGATTCACCTGTCTCTGCCTCCTGAGTGCTGGATTAAAAGCAGCTCCAGCACCGCTCAGCTCACCCTAAAATGTTTATATTCTGCCACTGCCACCAATCATGGCTCTAATTGAATCTTTGGCTTAATGTGTTGCTGTTATCTCTCTTCTAATGACCTTATCATGGCTCCTGGAGGGATGGTGGTGGTGATATGTTTCAGGAGGAGAAATGAACCTTGAGAAACCTAAAGCAGAATTCGAGACACCGGTGACTTGCTGGGACATGGAGATGACATATGTAGGACCATTGACCTCCAGGAGCTCAGTTTGTTGGTGTATGCCTTTAATCCCAGCACTGGGTGGGGAGGGGGTAGAGGCAGGTAGTTCAAGACCAGCCTGGTCTACAGAGTGTGTTCCAGGACAGCTATGGCTACACAGAAAAACCCTGTCTCAAAAAACAAACAAACAAACAAACAAACAAAGAGAGCCTTCATCCTGGTTGATGTCATAAGGTGAAGGTAAAGACACCCAGCAAGGAGTCTGTAATTGTTCCATTGAGTGAGAAGAAGCAGGGTTTGGGACCGTGGGAGTCATCAAAGTGTCTTAGAGAGTGAACCTTAGAAGCAGGACAGGAGGGCCCACTAGGCAGGGCAGAGCAGGGCAGGGCAGGGCAGGGCAGGGCAGGGCACTTCAAGATACAACAATACCTGGACAAGCTAAAGAGCAGAGGGAGCCATGAGGACTCAAGGCAACTTAGGGTGCCGCGGCATCTCAGGGTGCCGAGGCTTCGTTGCTCGCAGCCGGGGTTGGGCAGGGTAGAGGACCGGAACTCCAAGCAGGGTAAAATGAACAACACCGTAGTGGGTTTGGGCCACTTAAATGCCAGGGTAAGAAACTGGGGCCTCATTCAGTAGGTTGCGGAGAACTGTTGGGTATGTGTGAGAGAGCTGTTGAGCATGTGTCGCGATGGTGGGACTTTGACAGTCTTACTATACGATCTAGGCCTGGTCTCTGTGTCCTGAACACTGGGGCTACCGATATGTACCCTATGGTTGAGCTTCATGGATGATCCAGGTTTTGTTCGCATTTATTGCTGGACATTCCAGCCCTCACGTTCTGGGACTCTGTAAGATTGAACTCAGTTACATCTCATCTGAAATCTCCACACTCCTTCCTTTTCTCCTCTTCCTTTAAGCATCTTGAGACTCGGTTCGCTTTCTCCTAGCTTGGGCGGGTGTTTTTCAAGGTTCCCATACTCGCTCTGATTCTCCCACCCTTCTCTGGATTTTGCTAGATGGTAAATTCTGTTGATCCTCGGGACAGTATCTTTCTTGTTCATCCATGTGTCTCCAAAAACCCAGCACGGGGCACGCAAATGGGGGTGAATAGAAGAAGGAGGGTTGAGAGGTGGACCCCCGGATCTCTCGGGCTCTCCCTGTGCTCGGCTAAGTGGGTCCTCTGAGAACAATGGAAAATCTCAGGTGTCAACAGGGGTGTTTGACAGCCAGAGACATACCTTCAACTTAAACAATCAGTCTCATATTTTCACAGGAAACAACCTGTCTACAGGAACAAATTTCCGTCTCCACATCTTCCTGAGAACAAAGTGAAGCCAGGTGTATTTCCAGGCACGCCTGGGAACTATGTGAGGGCCAGTGAGGCGGAGGGTTACTTTCCAGTACTATAACCCTCCGCTTGAGCCGTATCACCTCGGCTGCTGCTCCGCAGACCACCAGGGGGAGCAATCTCACCGTATCTCTGGCCTTGGCAGGTTTCACGCATTCCAGGGTGTAGTCAGGAACTCTGGGAATTGTAGTCCTGGGATGGCAAGGCGGTCTATCGCGTGCGCCTCGGGACTTGTAGTTTAACTCTTAGAGGCAGAACATAGGTTTAAACTCGCATGCTGAATGAATGGAACTACTACTCCCAGAGGGCCACGGGCTCTAGGGCGGTGTCGGGTTTCCGTCGAGCAATCCTAAGATTGTCTCAGAGTGACCAGCTTGACTGGGTAAGTTTGATTTACGAAAGCTCCAATTTTCTACTGAGCTATCCAAAGACCTTTTCATATTCCAGCCTGGGGCCTTCTTGTCTCTCAGTCTCAGAACCTGCCCGCTAATCTTTGGTCTTCATTGTTTCCTATTCAGACAAGTCCCGTCAGAATCCACCCCGCACCTAAGCCCTCCTAGGGTCACCGCGGACTGCCACTCCCACGCCCCGAGATTCCCACCTTGACCCTCACGTCCCCGAGCGCCGGCTGCTTTGTGTCCTCCACGCTGCGCTCCACTCCTCTTTGTCCTGTTTGTCTTGCGGGTGGAAGTAGACTGCCAAATTCTTCCTCCCGGTGTTGTGAACTTGAAGTGCAGCGGGAACTCTCACCCGCCGCGACCTTGGGCGAATCCCACTGGCTCTCTGAGACTCTTCTGTTTTCCAGTGTGTGAAAGTGCTTTGTAAACTGCACGGCCTCCACAAACAACAGAGGTTCTCTTTGTGCCTTTTGTTGGTGCCCTAGAACATTCTTATCAGGACAGCCTTTCTGGTTTTGCCGCTTCGTTGCTCAATCCTGTCCCTTGAGATCTTGATGTCTTCATCTATGACCGGGTTATTTCTTCACTTCCTCCAGAGACCAAAGATCAGACAGGCCCCGATCCCATGACCCCTAGAGAGCTTTGTCTGAAAGGAAGCCCAAGACGGGTGCTTATTCTCGGAATAGTTGGTGATGTAAAGTCCACGGGGCTGGCAGAGGGACAGAGCTGCTCTCAGGAAGCAGGACTCCAGCAGGTCAACGCTGCAATGAAAGCCCCATCCCTTCCCTTTGGGCTCTTCTGGGCCTCTGTAGTGGTGGGTGTGTCTCAGGCATGGAAAACCCGGGAGAGAAGGATTCATTTTGCCGAAGAAACCTATGCAAGGAAAAATGGAAGGCCTCAGCTGGGTGTTTGAAAAGAGAACCACAGCCTTGCTAGTTAGTTGCTAATGTCTCATGAGTAATCACAGTGTACCAGGTCTTAGGCTGTGTCAGTTCCCTTCTTAGAAGCATCACATGTGACGTGTCCCTGTTTTCCATATAGGAAAGTTAGACTTGGAGCAGTCATAGAGTTAGACTAGTTAGAGCTGCCTCACGAAGCCATAGTATCTTCCCTGTGGCTTCAGTATGCCACGCACTTTGCACACCTTAATCTTTGACCTTGTGAGTAGCTGTAGATAACAGGTTTAGAGTTAAGGCATCGGTTGAAGATTTCATAGATGTGGCTGGCTGGATTTTTCAGTGAGTAAAGACACGGTCACGCCTGATGACCCAAGTTCTATCCCAGGAATTCACATTGTGGAAGGAGAGAACCAACTCCTGCAGGTTGTCCTCTGATCTCTACATGGGTTGCCATGGCACCCCTCCAATAGATAAATAAATGTTTTATATATAATATATTTAAATAAATAAGTAAATATGTATATGTATACACACATATAGATAGGTAGCTCTCAACCAGCTGGGAAGTAGCAGAGATGGAATTCAAAGTCACCAAAGCTTTTCTTTTCCTTCTGTAGCATAAGAACTTTATTCTTTTGACAAACATGATAGATTAAAAGCTAACTGAGCTGAATATAGTGGTACCCGCCTATTATCCTAGCACTTGAGGGGTGAACAGGGAAATCTTGAATTTGGGGCCAACTTGGGCTACCCAGAGAGACCCTGCCTCAGAACAACCGAGAAGAATTGGAAGATTTTAAAGCCTAAAGATAACAGAGCGAGTTCTTGCTGCCGGGGGAGAAAAGACCTACAGGGAGAAAGCATGCCTTTTTTTGTTGTTTATTTTTTGAGGCAGGGTTTCTTTATGTAGCTGTGACTGTCCTGGAACTCGCTCTGTAGGCCAGGCTGGCCTCGAACTCAGAGATCCGCCTGCCTCTGTCTCCTGAGTGCTGGGATTAAGGGTGTGCACCACCATCACCTGCTAAAGTTTGGTTTTGCACTGTGGAGTTTCCACGAAGGGGAAAGGCATACGTGTGTTAAAAATTAAATAGCATTTATTGGAGAAAGTAATTATTTTAGCAGTTAATTATTTGTGCGTGACTGGGCACCCGTGGACTCTGGCAAATGTGTGGGGTCAGCGGTCCGTCTCCTCTCCTTTCACAATGTACATTCTGGGAACTGAACACAGACCATCGGGCTGGGAGGCAGGCTCCTTTGCCTGTCGAGGAGCCATCTTGCCTACATTAACCCGTGTGTTTCTGGGTGGCCATGGTGATTTATGCGGTGAGATGGTGGTAAAGTCCACAGGGTACGCTCAGGGTTTGTTGCGTGTGTGTGTGTGTGTGTGTGTGTGTGTGTGTGTGTGTGTGAGAGAGAGAGAGAGAGAGAGAGACCACGCGTGTCTGAATGACAGACCCTCTCTCAGAGATCCTCAAATCCTGCTGACCGGAAACACCTGGGACTTGAAAACATTAACTTGGAGCTGGGAGCGTAGCTTGTAGAGTGCTTTTTTTTCTTTTTTCTCCCTGAAAATGGAGGAAATACAGTTAGGGATTGCAGCGAGGTTGGGTAGTAAGTTCATAAACCTCTGACATAGATTTCCCATGGACATCATGGGAAGCAAGTCACTGAGACTGCTGGGCTAGACACTGCACCTCGCAGCCTTTGTGAGGAGTCCGGGGGAGGGGGCTGTACTCAGAGCTGAGAGGAGGGAAGGCCAGATTTAGCCAACTTGTCCCAGCAGGCTAGGAGATCTCCCTGGGCCTGGCTGAGGGAGAGGCCCCAGCTAGGGACTGCCATGAATTGTGGAGCCGAGGTAAGCAATGGACACCCCTGACCGACTCTCATGCTGTTTATGAGGAATAAGGCTGGATGTCTCTTCGTGGCAGTTTGCAAGTGAGATTGGCCTTTAGCCCCGGTCTCGTGTCGACTTGGGGAACTCAGGCTGGTTTCTGGTTAGCCCCAGCCTGGTCAGTTGTCGTCTTTGGTTTTTATTTTTATTTCCAAGCAGAATTTAGCTGCTGGGCCCTCTCAGAAGCCTCCCAGCATCACCAGAGCTCTACACCCCCACCTCCGTGACTCTTTCCTGATGCTCACCCTAGGACTGATCTCAGCCGAGACCTAAATCCCCTTCCACAAAACCCTGACCCCCCCCCCACCTCACCTTCGCCTCCCTGCTGGCTCCCAGATCTGCACAGTGGCCAAATGCTATTGATTCTGCTCTTCTTGCCATCGACGAGCCGAGCGTAGCTAGATACTTGCTCCTGCCAGGTACCGTGCAAGGTACTTTAATTGCGTGGTTTCATTTATCTCCATAGCAACCACAGGACTGAGCCAAATCCCCTTATGCAGATACAGAATGGGGTTTAGAAAGATTAGGTTAAGGTGCCCAAGCTAGATGGCAGAGGAGCTGGATCGCAGGCTTGGGTCATTCACGGAGGACTGCTTAGTTGCTAAGGCGCTTGTCTCATAGATGGGAGGACCTGAGTTCAGATCCTTAGGGCTCACATTAAAAAAAAAAAAAAAAAGGCTGGTCGCAGTGGCACATGGCTATAACACCTGCACTCAGGAGACAGAGGCAGGTGGATCTCTGAGTTCGAGGTTAGCCTGTGTACACAGCAGGTTCCAGGACAGTCTGGGCTACGTAGAAAGACCCTGCCATTAAAGAAGCAGCAGCCAGGGGCCAGTGAGGTGGGGAGACACATCTCTGGGACCCTCAGAATGGGAAAGAAACAACCCCCCCCAGTTTTCCTCCGGCACCCACAAGCGTGCTGTCACGCGTGCGTTTCCACACGTTAAATAAATAAAGGTAATTTTAGAAATGAAAAACAAACCAGACTTGATGGTTCACTACAACCTCAGTGTTGCTGAAATGAGAGCCAGCCAGGCAGACCCCGGAAGCCTGTGTGGCCAAGGTCTAGCTCAAGAGAGACCTTGCCTCAAAGGGTGGGAAGGGAAGCACAGGAGACCCCGCTCACGAGGTTGGCCTTTGACCTCCACATGCCTGCAGCGTGCATGACACAGATGCATGGGAATGTGTACACACAGCCCTTGGTCTCCTTGCAGCCGAGTCTCACAGGCCTTTGGCTAACACTTTCCTGTCTTTCCTGCCTCCCCCTGCTCTCTGCTCCCATGCTCAGGGGACACAAGCAGTCTCTCCCTCTCCTCAGAACTCCAGTGGCATTTTGTCTCTCCTTTATGAGAGGCTCTGCAGCGACTCCGCTGTCATGTGATCCACATGTGTCCTGTAGCTGCAGCCTTAGCTCTCCAGTGGGTGCCCCCAGCGGCAAAGGGGGAACCTTCGGGGACTCCTCCTCCTTCCCCGCCAGCTGCACCGTCACTGCCGCCACAGAACTTAGCTCCCCTCCTCTTTGTGATAGTGCGGGTCTTCAAGTGTGCATTGGAAAGCCAAAAGGGGAAAACAGATAATAGAAAGAAAAACCATCTCCTCCCAACATCATTTCACAAGAGACTCTTTGGGGGCTCTCTGGGGTTTCCTTCTGGACCAGATGATTGGCAGTCAGGTGGTCTGTGTGTGGTGATGGTTATGCTGGGACCTTGAGCAGCTCACTGAGTCTCTAAGGACCTTGGCTTGCTCAGTGATGCATGCGTGAGTTTAGAGGTGGAGGCCAGGGGAGATTGCCGGGAGCCTTAGCGGCAGCCACCTCTGAAATCTCTTCTTGCCCAGGCTTGCTCCGACTTGCACACTGATCCTCCCAGAAGAGGAATCGGAATAATGTCAAAACAAACCACGTGGGCTCAGGACCCTACCCGTGCAGTTGGTTTTGGCTATCACGGCTAGGAATCTAAACTTTGTTGCTTTAAACGGGATGGGTTATGGGTTAACCCCCCACCCCCACCCCACTGGGGTAATGCTCTCTGCCCTGGTTCTCTGTCTGTAAGTTTGGTCCTGATACCTCCTTTCTCAGAGAGGTGCTGAGAAGGTTAGATGAAGCAGTGTCTGTAAGGGGCACAGTACAGGGCCAGCAGAGGAAGCACTAGGAGACGCTGGGTCTCAGTGGGTGCTTATAGCCTTAAAAGGACAATGTTGTCTGGGCGTGATCACTACAGCAGTTTACTGCTGGGTGAACACATGGTAGGTGTGGTGTCAGCATGTGTTAATCCTGAGGCAGGAGCTCGTGCGTCCCAGGCTGCCCTTGAACTCACGATGTGGCTCAATGATGCCCGTGACCTAATCCTCCAGCCACCACTTCCCCAGTGCTGGGGTTACAGGTGCTTATTACCACAACTGTGTTATGCAGTGATAGGAATTGAAACCAGATGTCCTTGAAGGCTGGGCAAGCACTCTACCAACTGAACCATGCCCCCAGCCCTTGTGTTTGGAGGTTTCGAGAGAACTGAGGATTAGCTCATGGCTACCCTCTCCTCACCCCACCAGAAGAAAACGAAGAATGCAGTCTGCAGGGCTGGGAGCTCGCACGCGCGCACGCCGTCAGAAAAACAGCAGCCCCAAAGCCAGCCTGTAAATGTTGGCAAATCGTGAGCGTAAATGATGCATTGAGTGGCCGACAGGAAGGTTGGGGTGATAAGGGCGCCAGGAAGTAGATAGGGTTGGCACATGACCTAGAGAAGCAACAGCGAAGAAGAGACCAGCTAGAGGCTGTTCTGTGTTCTGCTCTCCAGGCGGCAAGTTCAGGACGCCCAGGCTTTGATCCCGCTGGTGATGAGATGGGGACCGGACCGTCTGTGTGCTTCCCAGCCATCTCGGGACCCCACCATGTTGGCTGCACAGATGTGATGGAGGGTCAGAGTCCTGAGGTAGGTGTCCCAAGCTCTGTCCCTGCACTACCCCACGATTCCCGCCCATGTGGGGTCTTTGCCACTGTAGGTCCAAGCACGCAGTTCTGGGGGCCTGGGGTACAGGTGGGCTGGGCTTGGGTATCAGCCGTTAGGCCTGTTTTCCTGTCTTTTAAAAAAATTCTTCTTTCAGCTGGGCAGTGGTGGTGCACACCTTTAATCCCAGCACTCGGGAGGCAGAGGCAGGCAGATATTTGTGAGTTCGAGGCCAGCCTGGTCTGCAAGAGCTAGTTCCAGGACAGACTCCAAAGCTACACAGCAAAACCCTGTCTCGAAAAACCAGAAAACCAAAACAAACAAACAAAAAACACCTCTTCTTTCAAAATATTAGAACCTTCCCGGTTGACGGGGAAACTCAGTTCTTTCTCAGGCTAGTATAGGTGGAGGGGTGGGGGCACAGGGGCCCTGCACCTTTGCCTGACTCTGTGCCTTGGGTGGGAGGGTGGTGTCTCCTGCTTTCTTCTCCTTCCCACCTTCTGAACCTCCTGCCAGTTTCTAGGCTTTTCTTTCTCTTTGTTTCCCCGGCTTCCTCCTCCTTTTTAAACTTTTTTTTTTTTTTTTGAGACAGGTGTCTCATGTAGCTCAGGCTGGCCTCCAACGGGAAATGTAGCCAAAGATGGCCCTAAATAGACCCCTGATCCTCCCATCTCTGGGACTCCAGGCGTGTGCCACCAGGGCCCCACAGGTTCTTAGGTTTTTGTTCCTGATGGGTGGACGCTCCTCTGGCCTGTGAGAGACACCCACTTCCTGGTAACCTCTCTCCTGCTCCCTTCTGACCAAGCATCCTGCTGCCTCCTGAGAGGCAGCCCGGGAGAATGGCCTGGGTGACCTAATGTGTCACCCTGTTCAACCGAAGAGCAAATCCAGTTCCGCCGTTGGCACCAAGCCTGGGCCCACGAGCACGTGATGTTTTGGCGCGGTGCCGGTCCGTGATGTATTTAAAACGCAGCCTGATGACTGGAAGAACATAGGCTACAGTTCTTCATGCTCACAACAAACCGTCTCTTGGTTTGAGGAAGCTTTTGATCCTCTACGTTGCAGTCCAGCCTGGCTGGTGCTGGCTCCTGCTGACTCCCAGTGTCTAGGCTTCTTGGCCCAGTAGCTGCTCCCTTCTTTTCTCCAGGGGAGCTTCTTCCGACTCTTCTACCCCTGCCAAGCATCTGAGAAGTACGAGCAGCCCCTGTGGATTCCCCGCTATGAGTACTGCTTGGGCCTGGCTGACTACCTGCAGTATAACAAGCGCTGGGTGGGGTCTCTGTTCAACCTGGGCATCGGTAAGGCTGCCTGGCCCGGGGCCCTTCCCAGTGGCCTGTTTCTGTCCCCAGGAGAAACCTAGGCAGACACAGTAATTTTAAGCTTGTACAGTCCAGTCCTTGGTATGGAGAGATGGGAGAGTTTTGAATGCGTGAGAATTTGGGTCATCGCTTCCAATCCAGGCTTTGTAATGTACTGGCAGGGGGCCTTAGGCAAGTCCCTTACCCTGCTCGCCTGCCGGGCTTTGTAGAGCTGTGGGGCCAGGTATGGGAAGAGCCTCTAGTGCAGTGTTTGGAGTGTCAGATGGGGGCGTGGCTGCAATTTCTAAATCTAGCACACATTCCTACCTGCTCTATAGATCAACAGCCCCCCCCCTTTTATTTCAGTACTGGGGATCAAACCCAGGGCCTCATACATGTTAGGTCAGTGCCCTACCTCTGACCCACATCCCACTAGCCATGTGCTCCACTGCCACCCCAGCAGCTATAGCAGACAGTCTTGGTCCCCAGGGAGCATCGCCATCCCTGCAGCATGCCCCCTGGGCCGCTCTGCCTCCTTCATCCCACGTCCCCACCCCAGGTGTCCCCATGATCCGGGCATCTCGCACATCTGCCTCAGACTTCTTCAGTACTGCCTCTGTGGATTTTTCCCCCTGGTGGTTCTGGAGAGGGGAGGACCACAAACCCCCACCCCTGCCTGTACTCAGGCTGCCACTGGGATTGTAGTTCCGGGCAGCCAGAGATGCTACAGCCTGTGTCTCTGCCAGGATCTTGTCGCTTGCCTGTTAGCTGGAATGGCCCCTTTAAGACAAAGGAATCTGGATACCCCTTGATCATCTTATCCCATGGCCTGGGAGGCTTCAGGTAAGAGCTTTGTCCCTTGCACCTTGAGAGTTGCCGTGTCTTAATGCAGTCTCAGAGGGTCGAGTAACAGGTGTCTCACCTGCTGCCACCTTACTGCCCATCTGCCCTTTGGCGTAGCTGGGCCTTCCCTTCCTAGACCGGGCTTCTTAAGGCTTTCCACTTGTGACTCTCTTTTGCTGGACATTGTTACATGACCGTCCATTGTCAAAGGGTGTAAGATAGGAATACAGGTCAAACATTTGCTGGTAAGAAATCATAAAGGAGCCGGGTGGCGGCGGCGCACACCTTTAATCCCAGCACTTGGGAGGCAGAGGCAGGCGGATCTCTGTGAGTTCGAGGCCAACCTGCTCTACAAGAGCTAGTTCCAGGACAGCCAGGGCTATAGAGTGAGTTCCAGGACAGCCAGGACTATGCAGAGAAACCTGTCTTAAACCCCCTCCCCCCACAAAAAGAAATTGATTTTAAAATAATGATTTGGCACACATATCATTTTACCACTCACTAAAAGCAAAAGCAAATTTGCCTCTATGAGCTGGATGGACTTATTTTTGCATAAGGGATTGACTCGAGGGTAAATATTTGATACCAGAAGTCCTAGAGCGTCTTCAGGGTTTTTCACGATTGAGTTTTGATTTTATAGTCATCAATGCTGAGAATGTCGCTTACATAAATACCTAGTACAAAATGACAGAACCATGCTTAGGGGCATTTCAGAAATTGGAAATTTCATCTTAATCCCAAGCCAAGATTCATTTAACACTTTTTTTTGTGTGTGTGAAACTCAAATTAGCACCTCAGACACCAGTCCTTTCTTTTTCAAGATTTATTTTTATTCTTTTTAATTATGTGTGTAGATTGCATATCTGCGTGTGGGTATGTGCCTGTGGCTATGTGCGTGTGAGTGTGGGTATTCACAGAGGCCTAAGGTGTCAGGTCCTGTGGAGCTGAAGTTGCGGAGAGCTGCGAGCCACCTGATGTGGGGCGCTGGGAATCAAACTCGGGTCCTCTGGAAGAGCAGCCAGTGCTCCCTAACCACTGAGCCATCTCTCCCGCCACCCCAGGTGCCAGTCTTTAAAAATCCAACATTCCAATCCAAAACTAGACTAGCTTGATACCGACACATGGAGGAATGATGGAGGAAACACGAAAGGTCTTTGTTTTCTGTGATTAGGCCCAGAAGAGCAGAGATCTTTGTATGGTAGAAACACTGTAATTCGTAGGACGCAGCAATATCAAATCTGCGCCCAGGTGTTTCCGGTAGCCTTTTTGACATAGCCAGGCACGATGGCATGGCATAGTACACGCGCGTTCAGAGCCCAAGGCGGCAGAGAAGTTTCCAGGTGCAGATTTGGCGAGCAGTGCCAGAAACACCTTGGATTCATATGCCATGGATTTTCAATTAATTTCCGGTCATCTGGGGGCATGCTACCTGTGCGACCTAACCTGCAAACCCTACCCATGGCAATTGTATACCACAAGGGCTGGAGAGAGTTCTAACACTCTCTGTGCCTGGGTTTCAACATCTGCCAACTGGATCCGTGGCTCCCACGTGGTGGTTTATGAGATTTTTATTGGACTGGTTCCTGCTAGGTGCACAGCTCTCCAGTTCTCGCCCAGACATTGGGCTCCCAGGGCTCTTTCTGTCCACACCATGGGGTGCAGTCTGCTTGCTCTCCCTTAGGTGTGTTAGTGCACCCTCTGTCAATTCATCCGTAATATATACATCCGGCTTTATATCCCAGAATGTCACACATCTCAGATGCTGCCAACCCTCCAGCTCTTGTCTGCACTACAGGCAAGGAGATCTGTTTTCAAGATGGCAGAGTGTAGTGGCTCACATTGGTCATTCTGGAAGGCAGAAGCTGCAGGGTCCTGAGTTCAGTGGGTGCTGTGTGGTGATGCCCTGTCTTAGACCAAAAGAAGCCCGGGTCCTCTGACCTTGCTAGTATCTTGAAGCGTGCCTGGCAGATTGAGGTCTCAGTAAACATTTGTTGAGTACATCAGTGTTCTTCTAAATGAAACCTTTTCCTCTTCTTCTCTCCTTCCCTCTCCTCCCCTCCCCTCCCCTACCCCCTCCCCATCCCTCACCCCCCCCCCAGAATGTCAGATCCCCTGGGACTGGAGTTACAGATGGTTGTGAGTCACCATGTGGGCACTGGGACTCCTCTGGAAGAGCAGCCAGTGATCTTAACCACTGAGCCATCTCTCCAGGTCCTAAATGAAGCATTTTATTTTATTTGGATTTTCAAGACAGGGTTTCTCTGTAGCTTTTGGTTCCTGTCCTGGAACTAGCTCTTGTGTAGACCAGGCTGGCCTTGAACTCACAGAGATCTGCCTGCCTCTGCCTCCCGAGTGCTGAGATTAAAGGCGTGCGCCACCACCTCCCTGCTAGAGTAGCCTCGACACCACGCCTATCTTCTGTGCCCCCATGCGTACGACAGTGTCTGGAGTCATAGTTTCCCAGGGAATACTCATTCGTAAAGGAACACAGGGCTGTTCTGCTGGATTCCATTCATTCACCAACCTCTCTTAAGTACCTGGTGGGTGCCACCCCCTTGGCACAAAAGGAAGGTGGGAAATCCAGACATAGACACATTCAGAAAGTCACCCACGCTAGAGGAGCTGGTGTACAAACGTCACTGGCCAGTTAGCGGTGGCAGTAAGTGGCGTACAGACAAAGTAACTAGATGGACCCAGTGGAGATTAGGTGTGAAGCTAAGGCTGGGAGGCGAGTGTGTGGTTTTCTATGCTGGTTTCTTTTGTAGTAAACTGATAGCGAGCCTGCTTGTGAGTATAAGAGTCACACTCAGCCTTCAGAGCCCGGTGCATGTGTGCGTGTGCATGTGTGTGTGTTGGCCTATCAGAGAGAAGAAACTAGGAAACAGGCATTCCCCACCCCTAGCTATGCTGGAGAGAGCAGTGAACGTGTGATCTGGAGGTGCCCCTTTGACTAGGAAGCTAGGGACAGTCCAGCTCTCTGTAGACCAGAGTGAGCCAGTACAGACGTCCTTCATTAACCCGAGTGAAATTCCAAGAGGAAGAGGGAGGGGGTCAAAGAACATTTTCCTTTTAGTTTCTCTGGTTAATTTCACCTTGAAATTCTTCCCTTGTTCACGGAGGGGTAGCTTCCCATGGCAGGGAAGAGCCTGAGCTGTAAATACTGCATAGCTGGCTTCCAGAAGGCCACTGTTCCCGTGGTCCCAGGGAGGAACCTGTGCCTGTAAATGTCACCTAGCTGGCTTCCAGAAGGCCACTGCTCCCCATGGTCCCCACACGGCCCCCTGAAGTAGGCAGATAGGCATGCCTGGACCCTGAGCAGCGAGCAGCAACTTGTCTACATCACACAGTACACACTGGGAAGGGATGCAAAGTCATTCATCCAGTTCACTGCCTCTGGTAGCCTGGGAGACGCTGGAAGGAAACCTTAGAAATCGGCTCTCCCTTGGTTGTGAAGGTATGTTTAACAGATCACACCAGATATGAGAGTCTAGAGCATGATCAAATTCATTCCTTCCCTGGGCACATTGTACACGCCCGTACTCACGGCCCCCAAGAGGCCGAGAGCATCACAAGTGTAAACATGACATAGGCTGCAAAAGAAGAAAGCAACACCCACCCACAAACAAAACGTCTTTCTTTCTCTCTGTTAAAGCCAGCTAGAAGGGAAGGCACAGGGGCATCTGCTGATAACCCACCACTTAGAAGCTAGAAACGGCAGGATCAGGAGTTCAAGGTCATCTTCTGCTGAACAGTGAGTTTGAGACCTCCCTGGACTACACAAAGCCCTGCATCAAAACACAAAGAAGTGGCTGAGGGGAACCAGAGGTCACAGTTGCATGAATGTATCAGAGAACCAGACTTTATAATCTACTATGTATGGCTTCCGTTATAAAGTTATCTCATGCCCTATGAGGGCTGCTTTTGTTCCAATCTATGTCTGCATCCCAGGCAATCTAAAGGAGCACTCTATTTTTGAAAGAAAATCTCTGGTATACTCTTATGTGATACAGCTCTCATTTATTAGGACTGTTTGATCTATAAGCTGTCAGCTCTGCGTGAGTCTTTAAGGCTTAGAAGATGGTTGGTCAGTGCCGAGAAATGCTTCCGGTATAAAATGTGCACAAAGTCTGCATGGGAGTAAAAGTCTGCAATAACATTTCATTTATTAAAAGTTTTATTATATTTAGAAATTAGAGTGGGTTACACAGATTACAGCAGGTGAAATAAGGTAAAAGTATAACAGGCTGTTATAGCTTAAATAAAATAGATCAGTACAGTTAGACTGCTTCTTTTTGTTTTTTGTTTTGTTTTGTTCTGTTTTCTTTGTTTTGGTTTGGTTTTAGTTTTTTGAGAAATGGTTTCTCTGTGTAGCCCTGGCTGTCCTGGAACTCACTTTGTAGACCTGGCTAGCTTTGAACTCACAGAGATCCGTCTACCTCTGCCTCCCAAGTGCTGGGAGTAAAGGCATGCACCACCACTGCCCATCTCTTTTTTTACTTAAGAAATAGATTGAAAATATTTTTTTAGTTGTTTGTGTCTGCATGTGTGTATGTGCACTTGTGTGCAAGTGTCCACTGTGGCCAGAAGAGGGCACCAGATCCTTTGGAACTGGAGTGATAGGCAGTTGGAGTAGCAAGTGCTCTAACAGCTGAGCCGTCTCTTCAGCTCTGTTTCTTCTTGTTTTGAGACAAGATCTTGATGCATAGACAAGGCTAGCCCTGAACTCCTGACCCCACCTTCATGTCTCAAGTGCTAGGATAGCACGTGTGTACTAGCATGTTTGGCCTGCCTGCCTGTCTCCCTTCCCTCCTTCCTTTTTTGCTTCCCTCACTCCCTCCCTTCTTTCCTTCCTTCATTCCTTTTTTGACAGCAACTCATGTAGCACAAGCTAGGTTTATACTCACTATATAACTAAGGATGACTTTGTACTCCTGATATTCCTACCTCTGCCTTCCAAGTTCTGGGGTTATAGTTAAATGCTACCTCAACTGGCTAAAATGCCTTTTTCTTTGTATTTTTTGCAGTCCTGGGAATTGAACCCAGAGCCTTGTGCATGCTAGGCAAATGTGCTACCGCTGAGTTACAGCCCATCTTTTTTTTTTTAAAATGTGTATAGGCGTTTTGCTTGCATGTATATCCGTATACTACATGCATGCAGTGCCTATGGAGGCCAGAAGAGGGTCCCAGATCCTTTGTAACCGGAGTTACAGATGGTTGTGAGCCACTATGTGGGCGCTAGGAGTCAAACCTGGGTCCTCCAGCAGAGCAGTCCGTCTCCTAACTGCTGAGCCAGTTCTGCAGTCATCCCAATGCCTCTTTTTAATGTTAAAAAACATGACTGCTTGAAATTTTTCAATTTCTTTTGATTTGTCTGTGTGTTTAAAATTTATTATCATCACTTGGTGCTTGTGGACTCATTGGTGGAAGGTAAGAACAGCTGTGTGGAGTAAGGGCTCTCCTATTATGTGCATCCTGGGGACCACGTTCAGGGTCCTAGGCTGGTGAGGCAAACGCCTCTACCTGATGAGCCATCTTTCCGGTCCTTGAGTGTGTTTGTTTGTGATTTGTTTTTGAGACAGGTTTCTCTATGCTGTGGTCCTGGCTGTCCAGGACTCACTCTGTAGACCAGGTTGGCTTCAAACTCACAGAGATCTTCCTGCCTCTGCCTTCCAAGTGCGGGTGTTAAAGGTGTACACCATCCCCGCCTGGCCCCTTATGTGATTTTAAAAAGTATTTATGCTGAGTACTGTGACACATGTTTTTAATCCTAGCACTCAGGAGGCAGAGGCAGGCAGATCTTTGTGAGTTCAAGGCCAGCCTGGGTTACATACATAAAGAGGTCCAGAACAGCCTGGGCTATACAATAAGACTCTGCTCAGTGGATTTAGTACTTTCTGTACAAGCATGAGACTGACTTGAGTTTGATCCCCAAAACCTGTGTAAAGTCTGACCATGGCCACACACACCTGCAATCCCAGTTCAGGAGTGGATGAGGCAGGAGGCTCCTTGGAACTCTCTGGCCAGCTAGTCTCACAGAATCGATGTATTCTAGGCTTAATGAGAAACCCTGACTGAAAATAATAGTAATAAGGTAGAAAGTGATTAAAAAAGACACCCGACAACATGGCCTTCACATGCAGACACACACGTGTACATACATGTTAACACACAGAAACATGTCCACACAAATCCATTAGCATAGTTAGAATCTAGCTGGGGTTGGGGTAGACTGACTCAGTGGGGTGGAAAGGCATCTCGGGTTGAAGATTGTCTTGCAAACACCCTGCCTCCTGGACCCTGGAGCCCTGGGATGAGGGCTGCCCTGTCTGGGGAAAGTACTCAGAGGACCACCCGTGACAACTACCTAGCCAGTCTTTTGAGGTGACCGCCAGCAGAGTGTGGGTGAAGCTGGGCCTTGGTTTTGATCTCTTCTCTCTGTGGCTCTCCAGGGCGCTGTACTCGGCCTTCAGCATGGAGCTGGCCTCCCGGGGCTTCGTGGTTGCTCTCCCGGAGCACAGGTGAGCGGACTCCGGTGAACTGCGGTCAGGTGGATGCCTATGAGCTAGGGTACAGGCTAGTCACGGTCAGTGTGTTATTTCTGTAGTTCTGTGTGTGGTGCTGGGGCCTCAGACCCACATCATAGCAAACATTCTGTCCCTGAGCCACATCCCTGACCCTGCGTACTATTTCTAATGACCACACAAAACAGTTACCATATCCATTTAAAAGATGCTCAGTAGCTGGCTGAAAGTGACTCTGGGCTCAAACCCAGGTCTGTCCCCAGCCCTTCTACTCCCCTACGCATGCCTCCATCTCCTTGCCTTCCAGCCAAGCAGAGAGCCCATGTATCATGGTCGGAGGGGAGGGCGCGGATAAAGGGGAGAAATAAGTTCACCGCTGTCTTCTTTCTGATTGCACATGTGCTTCAGGGACCAGTCAGCTTCAACCACCTACTTCTGCAAGCAGACCCCGCAAGAGAGCCAGCCCACTGAATCTCTGGAGGAGGAATGGATCCCCTTCCGCCGAATCAAGGAAGGGGAGAAGGAGTTCCACGTTAGGAATCCCCAGGTAGGCTTGTGCCAGGGGGCATAGTCGCAGTACCACGATCAGAATGGCGAGGTGGATTCACACCCTCTGGTGTTAATCCAAAGACGGGACCCAAATCATCACGGCCAAATTAAAGCAAGCCAGTAATTAAAGTAAGCTTTTTTACTCCTGTACATGGGCTGCCTCCCCAAGGCAAGGTTCAAGACACTAGCCTTGGATGTGAGGAAGCCAAGTCTTTTACAGCCCATGGGTTTCTAAATGGGGGGTTTGGTGGGCAAAGTAGTCGGAGTTACGGGAGTAGAGAATAAGCGTAACAAGTTAGTTCCTCCCGGAACAAAAACATGGCTGCAAAATGGGCCTAGCAAGGCGGTCACAGTCATAACAACGTAGTCATAGTCATAACAAGGTAGTCGTAGGCGGTCATATAACCTTTTGAAGTGAAGACAGGGTTGCGAAATAGTTATAAAGAACTGTTTGAAGCAAAGACATGACTGCCGTTCCGGAACAGGCAGTACAGACCATTTGCAGTGAGGGTTACAGGTGGGGCCTAGCCCAATCCTTGAGAAACAGGTATAATCATAAACAAGGGCGAACTGAGTTTATCTTTACTGTAAGATGGCTTTTACACCTAAGATGGAGGCCGGCTGGTTCTGCAGCATATCGTGGTTCTGGCCATCTTTCTGTCTCTCCAGCGAATACCTGAAGCTATTATCTTACAAGGGAGCAGCGTTTTTAGTTCCTAGTTCTGGAGATGGCATTCCAAGTTCAGGTGGACCTATTGCTTGGGGCCTCTGGTGAAAATCCCAGATGGCAGGGAAGGTGGGGTGTAGTGGCATCCCACAATCCCTCTTCAGGGCAGCCTCACAGCCATGGGACTTGCTCTCAGAGGGAACCAGTCCATCCCTGCCTCTGCATAACTCCCATCTGCAGGCTGACTTGCTTTCTGAGCTCCTGCCAGCCCTGCCTGCTGATAGTTAGCCATCAGCAAGGGACCAGGCTCTGGATGTTCCCCGATCCTCCATCACAGAGCCAAGCTCAAGTGTGAAAATTCCTGGTAAAGGATTCCTAGCCTGCAGAGAAAGAGGCAAGAGAAAAATTCCCACCAAAAAAAATCCATTGTCTGGTTGTTGGGGGCGGGGCGGGGTCAGTCCTTAAAAGGCGGGGTTAACGGGAGAAGGGGTGGCAGACAAAGGCTTGAGAATAAGAACACTGACAGCTCCTTCTGTTGGCAATATATTCTCATGCACATCATCTCGTGTGGCCGTCCTGGTGGCCCTGCGGGTAGGCTAGTGGAATTCGAACTCCTGGGTCCACTCTCTACGACCTCAGTATCCGTGTGAGCTGCAAGGGACCACAGTGTCTGCTGAGATGCAGTGGGCAGACCCCCCTCGCCTGCTGAGTTCTGTGGGGGCTGAGTTGTGGTTAGGGGGTGCTCCAGCAGCCTGGCTGTGTTGCAGGTTCACCAGCGGGTGAGAGAGTGCGTGCGGGTGCTGCAGATCCTGCAAGACGCCTCTGGCGGGAAGACGGTCCTCAATGTCTTTCCTGGTGGATTGGACCTGATGACCCTGAAGGTACGACAGCAGTTGGGATGGCCCAGAGCTACACCTTCCTCACAGCCTTGCTGGCTCACAGCCAGCAAGAGCACTGGGAGACACCAGGTTGGCATAGTGGGATCTAGGGTCTCAGACTTGGCAGCTTTGCACCCTGATGCCCCCTCTGTAGGCTCAGTTTCCCTGTGCATGTGTGCCCTTCGTTCTCACCAGATTCCAAGCAAGTAAGATAGTTGCTAAAACCCAGGTCTGTGCCCAAACAGCCCCAGAATCCAAAAGAAAAGTCTCTCTTAGCTTCTAGGCTGTGGCTTGTGTGAATGACACAGTCAGCATGGCCTAGTCACTGTGCCAGGGGAGAGGTTATTCAGGTTGGCCTGCCTGGGCTATGCCACCTTTCCGGTCAGAGGAGCTAGGACACCAGGACTAAGGGTCCCACTCTGCCACATGGCTAGAGGGGACAGTTCCTTCCCAAGGGCAGGGTGTTGAGGAACAGCAACTTGTCTACTTCAGGCAAGTAGCTAAGAAGGCTTCTAAGGGAGTCCCAAGACCCCTCCTAGAAGGCATGACACTGTCCTGGCTGTGGACTTGGTGGCTGGGGAGGCACAGTTTCTGCCTTCCAATGCCCTTTTCTCCCCTAATCTTTTTTCTCCCTCTAATGTCAAAACAAAATGTAGTAGCATCCCCCCCACACACACACACATAGTAAAACAGTGGTTTTTTTCATGCTAGCTAATTTTAAACAGGGTCTTGATTCATATCCCAGACTAGTTCAGAGCTCATTAGGTAACCCAGCCCCAGACTGTCCTTGAACTCACGGCAGTCTTCCCTCCTTAATCTCCCAAGTGTGCTGAAGCTGAATCTTCATCATCATCATCATCATCTTCTTCTTCTTCTTCTTCTTCTTCTTCTTCTTCTTCTTCTTCTTCTTCTTCTTCTTCTTCTTCTCCTTCTCCTTCTCCTTCTCCTTCTCCTTCTCCTTCTCCTTCTCCTTCTCCTTCTCCTTCTCCCTCTCCCTCTCCCTCTCCCTCTCCCCTCCCCCTTCCCCTTCCCCTCTCTCTCCTCCTCCTTCTCCTCCTCCTCCTCTTTCTCCTTTTCCTCCTCCTCTTCTTTTTTCTTTTGAGACAGGGTCTCGTATGTCCCTGGCTAGCCCCAAGCTTACTGTATAGGTGAGGCTGGCCTCAAACTCTTGGTTCTCCTGCGTCTACCTTTTGAGTACTGGGATTTCAGGTATGCACAGCCAGGTACTGCTTATGGCATATTTTGAATGCTCATGTAGTACTCCACTGTGTGGATAAGAATTCTGCTGTGGAAGGGCTCCCCACATAGACTCACGAAGTCGGCATCATACCTCCGTACACTGAGTGAAGACACTCATGAGCATTTAGTTACGAACGTGGTGGAGGAGCCGCAGAGATGGCTGGTGGTAAAGGACTTAGGTTTGATTCCCACCACCCACACAGCAGTTCCCAACTGTCTGACACTCTAGTTCCAGGGGATCCAGCATGCTTTTCTGGCTCTCATGGGCACCAGGCATACAGACAAAATACCCATGCACATAAATTACAATTAAAATTAAAAAGGAAAAAAAATGGCACCAGTTTTAATCTGGGACTTTTGTTCCCAAAAACCTAAGTTTTATGTCTCAACACCTCTTGAAAATCCCACATGCCTGTGTGTGAGTCAGAGCCTGGACTCCAAGTGGGCGTTGGTGACTGCCTGCTGAGTGGAGAAGCAGGTGCCCCAGTGCTGAAGTCCAGACCTCCTGCCTGAGATCTGAGCCAGGCACTGAGCAGCAGCAGCCACTGTCCAGGTAGATCTCAGAGGAAATGCGAAACCAACCAGCTCCCTCCCTCCCTCTCTCCCTCCCTCCCTTCCTCCCTTTCTTCCTTCTTCTCTCTTTTTTTTAATCCACCAGTTTCCAGTCTGTAAATTTATCCTGTATTGTTCCTAAGAGTGAACAGTTGGGAGGAGCCAGCTGTTCCTCTCAGAGCCCCTGGGAATGCTAATTGCTAGGACCCCTAGACCCCTCTCTGTGGCTTCATCCAATAGAAACGTCTCTCTTGTCTACTGTTCACAGGGTGCTGGGGGGTGGGGGGCAGGAGGCAGTCCAGGTCTCCAGGCTCCATTCAGAACTGGGATTAAACTTGGAGCTTGGCACAAACTAGAAAGCTGCGCCACCACTGAAATGCACCCCAGCCCTGGGCTCCCTTCATCTGAGGGGTTCTGCCCTCTGCACTCTTGAACTCACTTGTGCTACATGCATTAGGCCTGCAGAAGGGCATGGACTACATGCGTTAAGTCTGCAGAAGGGCATGGGCTACATGTGTTAGGCCTGCAGAAGGGCATGGGCAGGGAAGTGCCTGAGAGCTTTTATAGATGTCCATGGAAGTTAGACTTTCAAATATATATATATTTATTTTTGTTATTTGAGGTCATGTGTTAGTGTGTGCACCTGCATGTGGATGTGTACACAAGTACAAAGGCCAGAGGTGTGGATTCCCCTGGAGCTGGAGTCACAGGCAGTTGTGAGAAGCTAGACTTGGGTACTGGAAGTCAGATCCGGGTCCTCTGCAAGAGCAGCAAGTGCTCTTAACCAAACTTTCAGCTTTGGAAGTTAGACTTTTGCTCATGCTGTTAGCTAGGACTCCGTCACATGGAACTGCAAAGAAATGGTCTCGCTGTGTGTCTGGGGACAGATTTAGTGAGCAGCCAGCTGTCGGTTTCCGAGTGATGTCAAGCGTAGCCATAGGGAAGGACGAGGCAACCCCTCTGTACTAATACTGCTGTGCATGGACACGCGCTGGAGGAGCACCTGTGGGGAGGAGGAGTGCCCATCCTGTCTGCTCGTCTTCCCAGTGACAAGGTCTGTGAGGACACTGAAGAAACCTTCACTGGTTGGGAGCAGGAAGCAGGCAGCTGGTGGAAAGGAAACTAGGGGTGGGAGACGTCTCTACAAACCTGAGTTTGGAGGCCTGCGAACGGTCACTTAGGTTTTAAAAGCTAAAGAGCCCATTCACACCGGACGGTGCTGGCGCACACCTTTAATCCCAGCAGTCAAGAGGCAGAGGCAGGTGAATTTCTGTGAGTTCGAGGCCAGCCTGGTCTACAGTGCTAGTTCCAGGACAGCTAGGGCTATTACACAGAAAAAAAAAACTGTCTGGCAAAACAAAACAAACAACAATAAAAGATCCCCTCCCTCCCGGTGCTTCTCAGCCGAGGGGGAGGATGGACGCCTTTCCTGGGCTAGATGTTGAGGAGAGCAGGGTTTCTGAACACAAAGCCCGGAGAGATTTCCCCAGCCCCTTCGCACGCATCAGCGGTGGCTTTTTATAGAGCCACGCTTCAGAGGCTTCTGGAAACAACCCTGAATAGACACAGAGCAGTCAGAGCGCACAAAGCCTCCCTGGGCTGTGGATAAAAATCAGGACAGACGTGCAGAGGAAGGAGGACCTGACTTGTTGTCTGCACAAGCGGGCCTTACTCCAGAGCTAAATGGGGAGGGGGGCGGGAGTTCCCTGTGCTCCCCTCTGTGCGCTCTGTGGTATCCTCCAGGACCAGCTTGTGAGGCAGGAACTGTGGACCAGTGGTTCTCAACCTTCCTAACACTGCAACCCTTAAATACAGCTCCTCATGTTGTGGTAACCTCCAACCATAAAATTATTTCATTGCTACTTCAACTAGTTTTGCTACTATAATGAATCATAATGGTAATTTTTTTGGAGGTTGAAGTTTGTCAAAGTGGTCGTGACCCACAGGTTGAGAACCACTGCTGTAGCAGATGAAGGGGGCTGCTTCTTAGTGTGTTTTCCAATGAGCTGGCGGAACCCTGACAACTTGTCTGTTTGGGTACCCACACACGTTTGAATGCTTGCCCTCAGCAGATAGTAGTGTTAGCGGGGGGCTTATGGAAGTCAAGCTGAGCCGGTGTGGGGGCACACACCTTTTTGTTTGTTTGTATTTTGAGATAGGATTTCTCTGTGTGGCTTTGGAGCCTATCCTGGAACTCACTCTGTAGAGCAGTCTCATCCTGAACTCACAGAGATCTGCCTGCCTCCTGACTGCTGGGATTAAAGGCGTGTGCCACGCCTTTAATCCCAACATGTGGAGAGAGATCTCTGTGAGTTTGAGGCCAGCCTGCTCTATACAGCAAGTTCCAGTTCAGTCAGAACTGTTACACAGAGAAACCCTGTCTTCAAAAAAAACTAAAAAAAAAAAAACTAAAAAAAAAAAAAATACCCTGTCTCAAAACAAAAACAAAAAGCACAGTCCCCTTAAGGTTGCTCACACCAAAGATCAAAAGAAAGATCAGCTCTTCAGGTGACAGAAAGTCCCCTAGTTCTCTAGTCCTCTTTTGCTTCTCTTTGCCATGCTGGGTGTCAAACTTGTAGGCTTTTCTTGCTCTTTGCCACTGAGCGACACCCCAGAGACCAGAGATTCCTCTTTTTTTTTTTTTTTTTTTTTTTAAATTGTGACAATGTCTCACTGTGTAGCCCAGGCTGGTTCTGAACTTGCCATCATTCTTTGTAGTAGGGAGGGCCATTTGTTGGTTCCTGGCCACCCGGCTATCTTAGAAATAATACACATAATCATACATAAAATATATTAATTAAATCACTGCTTGGCCCATTAGCTTCTTATTGGCTAATTCTTATATTAATTTAACCCATTTCTATTAATCTGTGTATAGCCACGTGGCTGTGGCTTACCTGCTAAAGTTCTGGTGTCTGTCTCCGGCAGGGCTACATGATGTCTCTCCGACTCTGCCCTTCTTTCTCCCAGCATTCAGTTTAGTTTTCCCTGCCTAGCTAAATTCTGCCCTGCTATAGGTCCAAAGCAGTTTCTTTATTCATTAATGGTAATCACAGCATACAGAGAGAAATCCCACATCACCTCTTCTTTTCTGTTTAAATAAAAAGAAAGTTTTGAACTGTAACATAGTAAAATTACATATGACAAAGCAGGTATAAAGCAAGAATTACAGTTACAATATTTATATCTATTTTATCTTTTATTATAACTAA